CTGAATCGTCGTGCTGAGTTCGAAGTGGCTCCACTACTTCCACCGCCTCCTCTGTGTTTTCACAATCTTCAGTTTTTTCCCGCTCATCTCCGTCCTTTTTGTTATCATCACCACCACCATCACCATCTGCAATGCTGCCCACTGACCGTTTGCCACGTCGTCCACCTCCGCCTGTTGATCCATCCGAGTCGCCAGTTTTTGAAACTGTCGATTGCTTACGTTCGGTTTTTGAAGTCGTTTCATCCGGATCATCATAATTATCATTTGCTGTGGAACCCTTTTCATCACTTCCTTCATCCCCGTTTCCAGTGGTCAACTCTTGCGTAATGAGCAACTTTTCGTCTCTCATTTCCATCTCCGACTCATACGTGTCATGTGTTTCAAGAATGACTGAGGCCTTTGCAGTCGGAGCCATTTTCGGGTGGTAGTGCAAACCATTACCACCCGTTTCGTCTGTGACAAACTCATCATCCTCAGTGGTCATGACTGCCGAGCCATTTGCCATCGTCGTCCCTTGTTGATCCTTTGAGCGAGAGCGTGATCTCGAATCACCACCACCGCCTGCACCACCACCAGATCTTCTTTTAGTACCACCACCAGCTCCTCCACCTCCACTGGAACCCTTCATCTGATGATGACCCTTCTTCAACGGGGGCACTCGTTTCACGTAATAAACAGGCGCCACAACTCCAGGACCACCAGGACCATTAGTGCCATTTGTTCCGATCACGCCCACAGGCATACCTGCCGTCAGGTAAACATTGGTAATGATGGCCTGCTTCAAATGTGTTGGCTTCTCCAGTGAGGACTGCAAATTGGCTTCAAATTCACGGCAGTTGTGCAGTGTGCTGTTTGGATTGCCGGGGTGGTGGTGATGGTGGTGATGGTGATATCCATTGGCGGCAGCATCAATCGTTGAGCTGGAGGCAGAAGTGGAGAGAGCGGTTCGAGAGTGCTCGGCCATTGGCGGCGGAACTTCGCCTCCTCCTCCTCCTCCAATCAGGTTGGGAAGTTTGGTCNATAACCTCCATCTCCCGAAGCTCCTTGAGCACCCGTTTCCATCCGCTCTTCAGCCTGTCTACGCTGCCTTCTGGCGCCCAGTTCCTTGATGGGCGACGTCGTTTGCAAGTACTCTGCCAGACGTTCGTCAATCTGCGCAATGGGCTGGGCCCCAACCGAGGCCAGGTATCGGGCCACCTCTTCGCTGGCGTTCTGGTGAGCCGCGTCCAGTGGGGTGAGGTACTGCGAGCGCACCTTCATCACCGCGTTCAGGTCGGCGCCCCGCTCCACTAGCAGACGACACAGGTCGACATTGTTGTTGAAGGCGGCAATGTGCAGCACTGACCGCCCGTAGAGGTTCACCTCGTTGATGGCCTTCGGGTTCAGGTCGAGGAGCCACTTGACGAGGTCTTCAGGAGAAAGAGGGGTGTAAAGAAACAAGTAAAGTTTAATGCTTAAAACCGATTCCTCCTACTCACCTCTCCGTCCCGACTTGATGGCTTCATGAAGGGGCAAATCACCCCTGACGTTCTTCAACCACAAATTCGCCCCCTGCTGATGCAGTATCTTCACCGTCTCTAGCTGGCCCTTGGAAGCGCCGCAGTGCGCCGCCGTCCGGCCCTTGTGGTCCTGATGGTCCACATCCGCCCCCGATTCGAGCAGCAGCCGGACGCAGTCAGGGTGGCCGAGGGCGGCGGCGTAGAAGAGGGGCGTACAGCCGCTGGAATCAATCTGGTGGACGTCGGCGCCGCAGATCATGATCAGTATCTCGGCGCACTTGTAGTGGCCGCGACTGGAGGCGCAGTGCAGAGCTGTGGGTGGTGATGATTATGTTTAAAATTAAAAACAGCAAATCTACCTAATTGCAAGAGCACTTACCAGACAGGCCGTCCTTGTCCTGCTGTGAGATCTCCGCGCCAGCCTTCACCAGCGCCAGCAGTGCATCACTGTTTCCTGTGTGTGTGAATTGGTTTGGGTGTGAAAAAGTGGTGAATTAAAACACAAAATTAAAGTGTTAGAGAAGATTGGTAAAGAAAATTAGTCGGAAAGTTGTGCAGCAAACCAGCAAAACTAAATTATAGCTAAAAACAAGATTTTCACATAACATAGAGAAGAAAAATTAGAGGTGCACTGGACACAGAGTTTCAAATTGGCAGTGAAATGGTAGTGCTTGCTCTCTGTCGATTGCAAGTGGCAATCTTTTGCTGCAGTGGTCAGCAGCAGAAAACCACCACCACCACAAGCACAGCCGCCAGAGATGATTTACCGATAGTGTCGAGTGAGAGAATTCTGAATTCTGTCTCTTTTCACTCTTTTTGGATCCACTCACCAATCATCGGAATGTCTCCCGTCGCACAGTGCAACTGCAGACCAGCTGCAGCAGCAGCAATGGCCATTTCGGTCAAGGCAAAAGCAGTGCCTCAAACACTCAGTTTCCAATTTCAGTAAAGCAGCAGCAGCTGAAGCTCAACTCAAATGACACAGCAGTACAATTCTTCTAATTAACCCGTTTCACAGATACAGACAGACATGGAAGCAGCAGAAAGGCTGACCGTAAGACACCACAAGGGAAAATGGCGGCACGTCGGGATTGTGGTGCAGCAGCATTGTACAGGGCTCCTCATTCAGTGAGTGAGCGAGCGTTTCAATGCCGACGTAAATGGACACTGCTCTAGGATTCGCTGCTGCTGTTGCTGTCCATCACCGCTGTTCCAGCGCAGGAGCACCTTGGCAACGGCTGAACCCCGAAAAAGGGGGCGCGAAATAGCAGGCAATAACTGGCGCTTGTTTGTTCTCATTATCTCTTCTTCTTCCTTCCTTCTCCTGTTCGCCCACTCTCTCATTACACACAAGTACGCTCATTCACTATACTGGACACCAGTGAGATAATTAATTTGAAGGTTACACCACTGCTGCAGTGCTGGCTAAACTGCAAAAGATTGGGTGTGCAATAGAAGAAGAAGAAGAATAGATCACCCAATATCAGTTCTCTAATTTCCTCTGAGTCTATCCGATGATTGACTCGCACCAATCTATACGCTTTTCTTCTTGTTTTCCCTGAAAACCAGCGGAAATGACCTAAAAGTCAATTCAGCGGTACAGCAGTGGGCAAATTATTAGAGCGTGAAACAATAAAAAGAAGAAAACACAGGCAATCACACTAAATAAAGTTATAAAGTGTTGCCGGTGGTAAAAACTATAAAACCCAAACTAACAAACATAAAACCTTCAAAAACTTTAGGGTTCTAGAAAGCAACAATTATAAAAAATCTATAGTGTAAACTTACCTGAACTGGCCGCCCACAGCAACGGTGTCCGTCCCTCATTGTCGCTGCAGTTGACGTCAATGTTGGGTCGTGCCAGCAGGTGGTGCAGTATGCGAAGGCCATTCGCCCGTCGTGCGCTGTACTTCTGCTGGGCGAGGGAACTGCTGCCGCCGGCAAAGAGTGACTGCTGTCCTCGAACTGTCATCGCAGAGGTGTTCGGCGGAAGGCTGTGTGTTTCAAATAGAGNAAACCTTCAAAAACTTTAGGGTTCTAGAAAGCAACAATTATAAAAAATCTATAGTGTAAACTTACCTGAACTGGCCGCCCACAGCAACGGTGTCCGTCCCTCATTGTCGCTGCAGTTGACGTCAATGTTGGGTCGTGCCAGCAGGTGGTGCAGTATGCGAAGGCCATTCGCCCGTCGTGCGCTGTACTTCTGCTGGGCGAGGGAACTGCTGCCGCCGGCAAAGAGTGACTGCTGTCCTCGAACTGTCATCGCAGAGGTGTTCGGCGGAAGGCTGTGTGTTTCAAATAGAGTGTTACAAAACCATTGAACCTCTTACTCGTTAATTATTATTATTATTTCTAATCATAGCTCAGGCCCATGTTTTCTGGCCCTTATCCTATTTAGTTCACTCCTATATCTAGCATTGCCGACTAGCGGCCAACCTTGTAACTATTTTCCAGAT